GTCGGGGCTTCTCAGCACAGGCCGAAGGGGGTCAGGAAAAAGAGGAAGAAAGAGGAGCCTCCCCCGCCCCCCCTTGCCCTCCCTCTAGTATAAAGCATGGACTTCAGGCTTGCTTCGCTTTTGGCTTTTGTTGCCCTTGGCTCGTTCTCTCAATCCGAGTCTTCCCGTCTTCCCGCGCCGCTCTTGAGGTCCAGGGGCCGGCGCACTCGTGATCGGCTCCGAGGAGCGCGGGTTCGTGTCTGAACGCAGGGGCGACCCGCACACCACACTGCCGGCAGCGAAAATGGGGACCCAGGGCGAGTAGCCGCACAGTCGTAGCGTTTGAAAATCAGGCTCTAAGCAGCCAGCCAGAATAGTTACACAAGTTGCAGCCAGGAAAAAGCCGCCAACATTAGGAAGAACAAGCAGGGGCGCCAACGTGAGGAAGACCGGAAGACCTTCCTTGCAAAGAAAGCAAGAGAAGCAGACATGAATCACAGAAGCTGAGCAAAACAAGTGTACGAAGTAAGCGAAGCATACGACACGGCTTCTGCGTAAGACGGTCGTGTGAGATCAGAGTGCACAGTTGTGTGGTAATTGTGGTTTCTGGCCAGGACCTCCAGAAGCTCCGTGGAGCGCTCGGGCAGCCGACTCAGCTCTCAAAAGATTGCACGAGACGTCACGGGACCTCCACCTCGGGCCTCAATGTCACACTGCTTTGAAACGGTCGTCAAGTAGTACAGCGACAGCGCGCGAGAGTGCAGAAAATGCAGCATCCAGCACCTCTCTTCACCTCATTTCCAGGGCCTCGCCTTCTTGATCCAAGGGAACGCCCTGAGAACGACCTAGTCAACACAGTTTGCTCCATTTTGCCAATCATTTGATACCATCTGCTTCTTCCATGCTTCACTGTTAGCAACGTGTTGAGAGCAACTTCTCTCCCAAAACCTAGTCATTGGGAGGAAGGATGCCACTGACCGCCATGGCGGGTAGGCAACCCAGCCCTTTTCTATGAGGGGGGGGCCGAAATCCCGAAAGCACGGGTTTTTCCGCTTTTAGGAGTTGGGGGAGCTCCCACGGGTCGGTATGTTCACCGTGAGCATCGTGTGTTTCTCATGTTCGCGGAAAGCGTCCGGTGGCGAATCGAGCTGTAGTTTTAGTTTCGGAAACCAACGAGGGTGAGGGGCACGTCGGCATATCTGTGTCGTCACTTTTTCAGCTGCAATCCAAGCCTTGGTTGTTCACGGCCCAAACTTGCGCCATCCTCAAGCTGGCATCGTGTTTTGGAGTCTGGCTTGTCGCATCTCCAACGTGCTGACAGTTGCGAGGATGAGGCACGTGGGTCGCGCCATCCTCGAACCTGTTGTCGCTTTGGAGTTCCCACACATATCTGTTTGAAGCGATTGAAAGGTCGCAAAGGAATGGATTGGTTGCGTACAACAGAATGGGTTTGAGAGAGGAGAAAGAGAGGAGGGAGAGAGAGAGAGAGAGGCAGAAAGAGAGAGAGAGAGGGAGCGAAGAGCGAGAGAGAGAGGGAGAGAAAAAGAACAAAAAGAAGAGACGAGAAAAGAGAGAGAGAGAGAGAGAGAGAAGGGCCAGCGCGGGTTCCACTTCGGGGGGGCCGTTTCGCTGGGTAGAAGAAGAAGAGAGAAGACAGAGAGTGAGAGAGTGAGAAGCGAGAGAGTGGAGAGAGGGAGAGAGGGAGAGAGACAGAGAGAGAGAGAGGGGAGAGAGAGAGAGAAGAGAGGAAAGGAGAGGAGCGGAGAGGAGAGGAGAGGAGAAGAGAAGAGAGAGAGTTTTGGCTCAAACCAGATGGGGGGGAACCCACCCCTCCCTTTGAGGCTTGAGCCTCCGTGCCGCTCTTTCGCCATTTGGCGTGTCCGCCCCTAGGTTGTCTGCCCTTGAGTACATTTGAGTGCGTTTCTGTGCGGTTAACAAACACACCTACCAGAATCCATGCACGTACATCTGTGTTTCCTGACATCGCAGTACGCCTTTTCCTTTCCGGGTTTCGGTCAACTAGCCCCGTAGTAAGATGCTCCAAGTTGCGGCCTTGCAGTGTCCTTTTCGGCGTCCATGTTTCCCATCCCTGGAGTGCGCAACGCCAGAGACTCTCTGAAATGCCAGAGACTCCCTGAATTGCCCAACCCAAAGACCCTGGAGTGCCCAACCCCACAGACTCCCTGGAGTGCCCAACCCCAGAGGCTTCCTGAAATGCCCAGCCCCCAAATCCCTAAGGTGGGGATGAAGTAAAATAATTCCCCAAACAGTCTACGGTTGGGGTTCTAAATTCATTTCAGGATTGCCGACATTCTGAGGATGGTTGCCGGGTTCCTGGGCTCCTTGCCTTTGTCTCCCTTCATGTGGCTTTGCCGGGTTGCCGTGCTCCCCTTCGTCTCCCTTTGTCTCCCGTTGTCTCCACACTGTTTCTTTGACGTGCCTTTGACTGTTTGGGGTCTTCGCTGGTGTAAGTCTTTCATTGTTTCTTTCTTCGGGCTTGGGGTTTGTCCCCCGCGCTATCTGCGCGCCCCCTGAGTTCGGTGGCGTGAAAAAAAGAAATTAAAAGAAAGCTTGCAGCTTTCTCCCGCTCTCTATATTATCTTCTTCTTCTTCTTCTTCTTCTTCTTCTTCTTCTTCTTCTTCTTCTTCTTCTTCTTCTTCTTCTTCTTCTTCTTCTTCTTCTGCTGCTGGGCATAGGGGTGCCCCCCTGCGCACTCGGCGCACCCGAGGCTGAGTTAGGTCAAGGTGATACCACAACGGCTCTATGTTTGCCTCGGCTTCCTGCCGAGAAGCGTCTGGACCCGGATCGGGCCTCTCCTCCCCTCCCCTCCCCTCTCCTCTCCTCTCCTCTCGTCTCCTTTCCTCCTGTCCTTTCCTCCTCTCCTTTCCTCCTCTCCTTTCCTCCTCTCCTTTCCTCCTCTCCTTTCCTCCTCTCCTTTCCTCCTCTCCTTTCCTCCTCTCCTCTCCTCCTCTCCTCTCCTCTCCTCTCCTCCTCTCCTCTCCTCTCCTCTCCTCTCCTCTCCTCCTCTCCTCTCCTCCTCTCCTCTCCCCTCCCCTCCCCTCCTCTCCTCTCCTCTCCTCTCCTCTCCTCCTCTCCCTTGCTCCTTGCTCCTCTCCCTTGCTCCTCTCCCTTGGTCCTCTCCCTTGCTCCTCTCCCTTGCTCCTCTCCCTCCCTCTCCCTTCCTCTCCCTCTCTCCTTTCTCTCTCTTTTTTCTCACTCTCTCTTCTCTCTCGCTCTCTCTCTCCTCCCTCTCTCTCTCTCTCTCTGTTTCTTCTCTTTCTCTCTCTTTTTCTCTTCTCTTTCTCTCTCTTTGTCTCTCTTTTTTATTCTCTCTTCTTCTTCTTCTTCTTCTTCTTCTTCTTCTTCTTTGGGGTATGAGGGGCAGGAACCCCCCGCGCGCACGGGCGCGCCCAGCACACTCCGTCCAATGGCTGTGGGAAAACGCAGCGCCCTCTCTCTCTCTCTCTCTCTCTTTCTCTCGCTTCTCCCTCTGTAGCTCTCTCTCTCTCTCTCTCTCTCTGTCTCTCTGTCTTGCTTGCTGGAAGGGGCCTCCCCGAAAGGCCCGCGTAGTCGGAAGTCTGTAGGAGAGAGAGCCGACGCACCAACGTGGCATTCCAACAAAAACAGACAAGGGAATGCACCTGAAATATGACTTTAAGACTAAAGGCCTGAGCCAACAATCAACGAACCCCGCAACCGAACCTACCAGCACCCAGGGCCCCACTAAAGAGTTTTCGTTTTCCCATGCGATTAGACCGGAAGGCCGCCCAAACACTGATGAAGCTTGAGAGACCCACCACAACCCTTGCATTTCCAGCATACGGCAGCCCTAGTCCAGGGTCGCGTCTCTAGGGTTGTGCACTCCAGGGAGTCTTTCCAGGGAGAGAGGAGAGATAAGGAAAAGACAAGAGAGGACAGAGAGAAGAGGGCACAGACAAGAGGAGAGAGAGAGAGAGAGAGAGACCCTGGGGTCGGTTCAGGGCCTGTGGGGCGAGACTTGTGGTTTGTGGGGCAGAGCCGACTCCCTCGTAGGCCACCTAAGCCTCTGCGAAAGAACTCAGGGGTGAACTTTGCGCTAGTACGCAGTATGCGGGTGTGTTAGGGTGATGGTCTAGCTTGTTTCGGTTAGCAACTTGGGGGCAGCAGAGACAAACAGGCATAGTGGCAGGTACAGTCGCGGAACAGAGGGGGAGGAGCACACGCGTTAGAGTCACAGGGTCATGGGGGGCAGAAGTGGGGTTTGACGGTCCCGTGCTTCCTCTTCCCGTAACCGCCTACACCAGAGGCCCCCCGAATACCGGGGCGGGCGAGGACGCCCGGGGGTTCGCCCCCATGCCCCCAAGAAAGAAAGAAAGAAAGACGGAGAGGAGAGAAAGAGAGAGAGAACGATGAGAAAGAGCACGTCGCTTTCGTTCGCCGTGTACGTTACACGTACTTGCATTCGGGGTTCGTTGCCCCTGTCAGGTTCTTGCAGTTCTTGTTTTAGTGCTGTTCTCAAAAAAACCCTCTGGTGTTGAGTTCTCTCGTTTAGCGCTTCACCGCGGAAGGCGAGCGATATCGGACCGTGCTCTGACAGGGGCTACGAAGCAACTAAAACGGTCAACGGAGTCAACCGAGACGAACAAGGAAAGGGCAAAGGGGAGGAGGGAAGGCGATATTTGGACAGTCTGGAAGTGTGGACAAAGAGGAGGGCGGCATTTGGGGAAACATCCAGGGGAACGGGGAGGCTTAGGAGAGGCATGGCAAGGGCGAGCGCGACACCCAAGAAAACTTGACAGGGCAAGCGTGGCACGGGCTAGACTGAATCGGTCAACGGAGGAGTTGACGGGGCCGGCGTGGTCAGACGCAGGCTACGTGCAAGGCAGTGCAAGGAGATGGTTTAAACGATTTGTCCTCGAGATTCCACCTGTTGCATCCTTGTTGCTGTGGTTTTTGGGTTGCCGGCTTGACCTTGTTGGTTCATTTGGCAGAACGAAGAGGACTGACTGCCAACGTGCTTGTCACTGTGCTTTGCTTTGAGGCGCGTGGCCGACGAGCTGCATCTGGTGCTGGGCCTCTTGGACCAGCACCTGGAGGCCGAAAACCCTTTGTCAGATTTTCTGTCCTTCTGGAAGCGCACGAAGTCGAATCTGGAAGTCCGCGAGCCACTAAGCATGCTCGGCCGTCTCAGCAGCGTTTTGCCTTAGGACTGCGCACTTTTCCAGTGGGTCACCGAGCCGTGGCTCCGTGTTTTGGCTTTGCTCACTCCTCCATTCACTGCTTATTGTTGAGATGCTTCTTTCGGAAGCAAGACAATCTTGAAAACCGGATAACATCCTTAAATCCCGGATACGGACAGAAGCATGGTGCAAAAAGTCTTCGAAAACGATTCGGAAAGACAAATGCAAACAGAGACGCAGATGCACACACACACACACACACACACACACACACACACACACACACACACACACACACACACACACACACACAACACACACACACACACACACACACCCACACACACACACACACACACACACAACACCCACACACACACACACACCAACACCACACACACACACACAACCCACTCCCGCACGCCCGTCACGCCCGCCCGCACCGCCCGCCCGCCCGCCCGCCCGCCCGCTCCGCCCTCAAGCCCCCCGCCCCAAAGCCCCCCCCTGCCCACAATCCCCCCCGCCCGCACCCCCCCCCCTCCTCAGCCCCCCTCCCGCCCTCCCTCAGCCTCACTCACGCACGCACCTCTACGCGCGCTCGCACGCGCACACAACACAACTACACACACCCACACACATCACACACCCCTTACACACACTTACACACACTTACACACACTTACACACACTTACCACACACTTACACACACTTACACACACTTACACACACTTACACACACACTTACACACACTTACACACACACTTACACACACTTACACACACTTACGCACACTTACGCACACTTACACAGACTTACACACACTTACACACACTTACACACACTTACACACACTTACACACACTTACACACACTGACACACACTGACACACACTGACACACACTGACACACACTGACACACACTGACACACACTGACACACACACACACACACGCACGCACACACAGCACGTGCGCGCGCACACACACACACACACACACACTTACACACGCTTACACACACTTACACACACTTACACACACTCTTACACACACTCTTACACACACTTACACACACACACACTTACACACACATACACACTCACACACACACACACACACACACACACACACACACACACACACACACACACACACACACACACACACACACACACACACACGCGCGCCCACGCGCGCACGCACGCACGCACGCACGCACACGCGCACAC